TTATATTCTTTGTATGCGACTTTTTATTGATCCGACACGTTTTCTACAAGTGGTGCTACTCATTCCTTCACAAGATCCCAAAGATCTCGATAACAAAAAATCAACTTTATCTATTTGCACCAATTCTCATAATTATGACCCTTCATAATTGGGAGACTCGTCGGAAAATACCCGTTTGGATGATTCACCGCCGTCGTGTTTTGCTTCCCACGAATCGCTAAGCTAGTGCTCTAGATACCAGATATTGGAATTAAATCCAAGATTTTGAGTAATTCCGAATCAATCTTGATGAACAAGATTCAATCACACCGATTGAATTCCCTTTTGTTCTTCACTCTTCACTCGAGTGAATCAACCAACCTAAGTTGCAAGATTGTATTGTTGCACAATGGTGATAAAAACAAAAAAAGGAAATTAAATTGGGAAAGAAGAAGAATTTCCGCAGAGTAACACTCTGTTCTCAAAACTTCAATTTTATTCAAGTGAATCACTTTACAATAATAGGGGTTACTTTATTCCCTAAGTAAAGCCCATAAACAAAAGCCCAAAATATCTAATTCTACTAATACTACAAAATTAGGTTTAAGACAAAATTCATGTCAATGCTAACTCTTCGACAATTCGACAACTAGGTGTTTCGACACACACACACGGTTATTTGACAGCTTTCTTGTCCATGTCGAACAACCTATTTCGATACAAGAAATTACAATTCAACATATTAGTAGATAATTTTGTCATCTGATATAACTTTGCGAGAATTCTTCTATTCACAATATTTTTTTTTAGTACTATCGAAAAGTCTCTTCTAGAACCATGCATCAATGCCATCTAGACTATTGTTTATAAAACCACAACAAATAACTTAATTTTTCTATATTTTAAATATGATTACAATTTTTTATATTTATCAAAATTTTTGAAAAAATAATTAAAATTTTATATAATTTTTAAAACTGACTTTCTCATAATATCTATGCAATGCACAAGTATTATTTGTAGTGAAACAATATTTTTGACTAATAATAAATTGAGAGTTAAAGTATAATTTTTTATGAAATAAAATATTTTGAGTCAAAAGAAAATTGAAGTAAAGTATTTTGAGTCAAAAAGAAATTGAAGTAAAGTATTTATTTGACCAATTTGAAATAAAACTAATTTATTACTACTTGTGATTTTATAAATTAGAAATATTGAATATATTATATTTAAAAAAATAAAGTTTTAAGAAATTGACGTATATTGGATAAATTTTGAATTAAATTAGTCAAGTTTTTGAATAAATTATTGTTTTTAATTTACACTGGAATGAGTATTGTTAAAAACTTAAACAAGTCATTAATAAGACCTCACACAAAATTTGAAATAAAACTAATTTATTACTACTTGTGATTTTGCTGAGTAAACTTGGTAAGATTACTCTTATAAAATATTTATAGAGATATTTTACGAACTAATATATAAAAGTGACTCTATGATCTAAGTTTATTGAATGCATGTGTAATAAAAAAAAACAATAAGTACATATCAATTAATCTTTGACTTTGGTGTTTTATTGCAAAAATATTTAAAATAGAATTTGTATTTGAATCAGAAGTACTATATTTTATTTTTTCGGTGAATAATTATTTGTGTGCGTAAATCACTAGATAAATAGTTAGATGATGTGAAGATTTCAAAAAAAAAAAAAAGCACTTATTAAATAATATATTTATTAAATATTTTTTTTATAAAAGTTAAAATATTTAATAATATTTTCTTTTTAAAAAAATGCTTAATTTTAAAAATATTTAAAAATAGACTGAATCGAATTAAACTTTTCAAAAGTCAAGATGTTTTATTACTCTATTAAAAATTTATTTTATTTAAATGAAAAATTTACTTAATATTTAAGTAAATTAATAAATTAAAAATAAATAAAATTAAGTACTTATTTGTATTGATTTGTGCAAGATTATCAAATAACATGAGTTTTATGAAACTATTTATTTGAAAAAAATTATTAAAAAAACTTGTGACATTTTTTATAAAATTTTTTAAATTTATTTTAATAAGCTCTTAAAAAAATTATTTTTATATTTCTATTCAAAATACCAAAATATAATATGATTATAATAAATTTATTTAAATTAATTAATTTGATAGATTTAAAATATATTTTTATGTATGCGATCTAATTTTTTAAACTAAATAAACTTATGAAAAAATTATGTAATTTTTAAAAATACAAAAAAAAAACACACACACATGTATATATATATATATATATATATATATATATATATATATATATATATATATATATATATATATATATATATATATATATATATATATATATATATATATATATATATATATATATATATATATATATATATATATATATATATATATAATTTCTTGAAAACTAAAATTACTCTTTTAATTTATATAAAATAGTTTAAAATAAGTTCTACAATTTTTATGGGTCTATAAAAATCGAATCTATCAAATTAATTTTTTATTATTTTTAAAAATAGTCTAGATTGTCAAAATTAAAACAATTTTATATCGATATTATGTACTATAATTTGAGATAAGTTCAAAATTTTTTAATATTAAACATAACCATTTTCCTTATTTTTTTCAGTCCAACTTTGACTATAGCATAGATTGAGGTATAGTTGAAAACAATAAAACTCCAATTTATTAAAAAAAAAAAGATAAAAAAAATATTTTTAATCCTTAAAAAATAAAATTAAATCACATTTTATATCTTAAAATATAAATAACCTTTGAAAAAATAATAAAAAAATAGCCAAAAAACAGTATAAAAGCACATAGTGTGCAACACATCATCACAACACAACACACATAAAATATCATAGCATATTATTCTGTGTCTGTTTAGAGAGAGAAAAAGAGAAAGAGAGAGAGAAAGAGTGGACTTTTGTTCCTTTTTTTTTTGTTGTGTTTTATTCTTTTGTTTTGGTCAAATAATAAAACACTTTCTCTCTTTCTATTTGGTTCCATCCAAACATAACACAAACTCATAAACAAAACAAACACCTTTCACTTCACTTCATTTCATTTCATTTCAATTGTTAGCTCAATTTTGTTCCTTGTTAGTTTCATCCTCAATTTCTTCATGGTAATGCTCTTTCTCTTTATGAACTATTCAATTTATTTCTGTTTTTTTTTTATATAATTTTGTTTTTATTATGGTAAAATTGACGTTGTGTTTTTGTTTTTAGAAATTGTGGTATTATGAGATGTGGGTTTTGATTTTCAGTTTCTGATACGTTGGAAATTCAGAATTTTCATAGTTTGATATCTAACTATTGAAACCCTTCTCTCTTTTTTCTTTCCACTTGATTAATTTTGGCACACATGATGATTAAGAACTGAAACCCTAATTTAGATTTTGAGTTTGTTGTGATTATGCAATATTGTTGATCATTTTGGGCATTTTTGTTAGTTTAATGAGTAAACCTGTTTGACTCTTGCAATTTCAATGACTAAAAGGGGACTAAATAGTCATTTTAGTTGTTGAAATTGTATCGATAGGTCGCTTGCTCGATTTCGTCGGTCAAATTTGCGAAATCTCTTTATGTAACATGATTGTTCAATCGATCTAGTCCGTCAAGTTTGCAAAATACTCTTTATGTAACAAGGTCGCTAGATCGATCTTGTCGTCAAATTTGCAAAATACTTTTTATGTAACATGGTAGCTCGCTCGATTTTGTCTGTCAAATTTGCGAAATACTCTTTATGTAACATGGTAGCTCGCTCGATTTTGTCTGTCAAATTTGCAAAATACTCTTTATGTAACAAGGTAGCTTGCTCGATTTTGTCCGTCAAATTTGTGAAATACTCTTCATGTATCTAGGTTGCTTGATCGATCTAGTCCATCAAATTTGCGAAATACTCTTCATGTATCTAGGTTGCTCGATCAATCTAGTCCGTCAAATTTGCGAAATACTCTTCATGTAACAAGGCCGCTCAATGGATCTTGTCCGTCAAATTTGCTAAATACTCTTCATGTATCTAGGTTACTCGATCGATCTAGTCCTTCAAATTTGCGAAATACTCTTCAATTCATGTAACAAGGTCGCCCGATCGATCTAGTCCGTCAAATTTCCGAAATACTTTAATGTAACAAGGTCGCTCGATGGATCTTGTCCGTCAAATTTGCGAAATACTCTTTATGTAACATGGTTGCTCGATGGATCTTGCCTGGCAAAATTGCGAAACGCTCTTTATGTAACATGGTCGCTCGATGGATCTTGCCTGTCAAAATTGCGAAATGCTCTATATGTAACAAGGTCGCTCGATCAATCTAGTCCGTCAAATTTTCAAAATATTCTTTAGGTAACGAGGTCGCCCGATTGATCTTGTCTGTCAAGTTTGCGAAATACTCTTTATGTAACAATGTAGCTCAATCAATTTTGTCCGTCAAATTTGCAAAATACTCTTATGTGACTAGGTAGCTCGCTCGATTTTGTCCGTCAAATTGACCAATCTTTTCATTTTCGTGCCGACACAATGCTGCGAGTTCGATTCTAGCATTCTCCCAATTTCAAAGATTTAACTGCCTATTTACTCACAAAAATGGTAATTCACTTAATTAAGATTCAATGCTTCCAAAATGTTATGTTTTTATAACTTAATTAATTTCTTCCCTTAAAAGCTCTAGTCCACTCTCAGTAAGCACTTATGGGAAAAAAGAATATTAAAAGAATTTTTTCAATAGTTATAAGCTTTATAAACAGTTGAAATTAGCTTTTGTATTTAATTTTCTCTTTTGTTTTCTTTCTGAAACTCTCATTTATATTTTCATAAGCATGTATGAACTTATAAGAACTTTTTTGTAAGTAATGGTGCAAGAAAATGTGTTTTTGCTAATAAGCTTTTTTAAATGTTGTCAGGTTTGTTCAAGTTCGTAGTTTCTATGTATTCATCGAAGCAGTCATTGAAAGTCGACTCGTTTACTTTTGATTTATAAGATATCGGTTAACATGGTTTCTTTGCAAGAAAATGCTGATCAAAACGGTTCTTCTGATAAAGAAAAGCAGCAAGTGAATCCGCAGCAAGTGAATCCTCAGGCAGAGATCGCATTCTCACAAGGGGTTGACGATGTACCTAAAAATGAATCATCGGATTCTGATGTCAATGCCATGGCGAATGAATTGCCTCAGTCGCCGGACTCTTCACCGCTCGAGACACATTTCCAGAGCCTCGGTACACCTTCGAATGAATTGCTTCCGTCGCAATCTAGTCAGCGCACTTTCGCTATAATTCGCGAAAAGGTAACATCAGATGGCTTTAACTGGCGAAAGTATGGCCAGAAAAACCTCAAGACGGAAGGATTTAAAAGGTGCTATTACAAATGTTCACATTCAAACTGCCTGGCGAAAAAGAAATTTGTGATGTCACCCGATGGAAACTTCGAAGGTTACACTTACACCGGTCAGCATAGTCATTCTAAACCTCAATCGAACACCGTGCCACCGGTTGACCCAGTTCTTCCGGTTCTTGAACAAGGACTGCCTCAATCGTCTTTGGCCAATGTGGAAGGTCAAGGTGAGAAGTAAACCTTGCTAGTATTTTAGTTTTCGTCGTCACATGAAAAAGCTCTTAATTTTACTGTATCACACATGCAGACAAATCATCGGTTGAGTATGAATCTACACCTCAACAGATCAGTCCTTTACGTTACTGTCCACCTTCAAATGCTTCCGAAACTCATGACTCAAAGCGGCTGTACGTTATTCGACTGTTTTCTAGTTGGAATTGATATATCTATATGCGATATCTAACCTTTAATTTACTGTTGAATTGATATCTAACAGGAGGAAAGACGATAGTAACACTCATACCATTGGAGGTGACATGTCAACTGGTGAATTTCGCCTTGTTGTTCATACTCCAAGTGAGTCCGGAGTCGTAGATGATGGGTATCGCTGGCGCAAATACGGGCAAAAAAATGTTAAAGGGAATGAAAATCCAAGGTACATGGTAGCTTTTATTCTTGAATTGGTTAACAGACACATGAATTCATGAATGGTTTAATCTAATCGATTGCGTTTTCTCTCTAATCTTCTAGAAACTATTATCGATGCACGTCTCCTGGATGCCATGTCAAAAAGCATGTTGAAAGATCCCCTGAAAATCCAATAAATGTCATAACTACCTATGAGGGTGAACATGATCACGAACCCCCTACAAGACGATTTCCTTGTAATACAAGCAAGCCGAAACACAAATCTGGAGGCAATAATGTTTGTGCTGATATGGTTTCGTTTCAAGTGGTCGTGCTTCCTAACGGTGTTTTTGAAAATAATATATATGAGGAAGAGCAACAAAATGAAGACCCTAGTCCCAAAGACGATCCTGAAGAAGAGCAACAAAATGAAGATCCTAGTACCAAAGACGATCCGGTAAGCAATAATACCGTGATACGCGAGCCAAGTACCGAAGTTCCATGCAGATCAAATGAACATGATACTGTTATTGTTTCTGGTCATGATACTCCTAGGACTACAAGTGAACTCAAAAAGGTTCCTGAAGATGGAGCTAGTGATTGAAAATTATAAATAGTTGGAATTGACATAGGTTATAGATATTCCTATTCTAACCTATTATTTTCCCATTTTCTAATAGGTTCATCTTTATTTGTCTGTGATCACAGTGATTTATTACATTGGATGTACATTTTGGTACATTTCTATGTAAAATTCCAATATATTGTGATTTGCCTCTAATTCATGTTGAGCCTGGGGATGCTTTAAGTTGGTTTTCTTACTTTGGTTGAGTTTAGAAGATGTTAAGGCTGAGTTGGGGTGTGTGAATTGAGCAATAACTCTTTTCTGGATCGGGTTTATGTTGTTATATTATTGTTCTTTTTTGGGTCGGGTTTATGTCTCTTAGGATATTTGGGCTTTTTTAGGTCGAGTTTATGTCTTTCAGGTCACTTGTTTGTCGTTGAGTCATGTTTATGTTTTTCCAAATAAAGTTTATGTTGCTCTAAGTTACTCTTCTTTTCTAGGATAGGTTTATGTTTCCATGCTATTTGTTTTTTTAGGTCAAGTTTATGTCTTATGGTATTTGTTTTTTGGGCCGTCTGGTTAGATTTATGATTTGTTCTTTTATCCTTTTATTAATAAATTTTAGTTTTGCTTAAATGATTGTTAGGTTTTTTGGTGTCAACCAAATTGAGATCCTCTAATTAAGATGCTTTAACATATGCCTAGATCAAATTGAGATCCTCTATTAAACAATAGTTATGTCGTTAAGATTTAAATCTAGATCAGATCTTGCGATAATGTAATTTGACTCTTCCATGCGATTTGAGTTGTATGTAGAAACGTGTATTGTAGCAAGATTGCTACAAAATTGTAACAATATTATGAAAAGATTGTGAAATCATTGAATTTGTGTGATCTTTGCTAGTTTCGGCAACATTCAATTGCTTTTTGGCCACCTTCATTATAAACCAAGAAGAAATGAATAAGAGAAATAAAAATAAAGACTGAAGATGACACAATGAATAAGAAAAATAAAAATAAAGACTGAAAATGACACAATGCAAAGTCACAAACAATTGCGATTAAATAGTGACCACCTCCATTATAAACCAAGAAGAAACGAATAAGAGAAATAAAAATAAAGACTGAAGATGATACAATGAATAAGAGAAATAAAAATAAAGATGGAAGATGACACAATGCAAAGTCGCAAACAATTGTGATTAGATAGTGAAAACGACACGTGTTTTAAAAGGATAAGGATGAAATTTAGATTTAAGATTGAGAGTATATATATTCTAGAGAGATTAATGAGGCGACACATGTTTTGAAAGGATAAAGATGAATTTTAAATTTAGAATTTAAAAAATATACATGATGACACACTTTTGATGGAGTTTTAGATTTAGAATTTAAGAGTAGAAATTTTAGCACTATGGTTGAATCAATTGAATTATAGTTAAATTCGATGACTAATAAATAAATATTATAAAACACTGAAAATAAACGAACAAGTTTAGTTTGATCGGGTTTTGAACGAGGTTGAATATATTGACGAATTATTGTTTTTCTTACTTTGATTGAGTTTAGAAGATGTTATGGCGAGTTGTAGTGTTTGAATAGAGAAATCGTTTTTTTTTATCGGGTTTATGTCTCTAGATTATTGTTCTTTTTTGGGATGGGTTTATGTCTCTTAGGATATTTGTGCTTTTTCAAGCCGAGTTTATGTCTTTCAGGTCATTTGTTTTTCATTTAGTTAGGTTATATTTCTCCAAATAAGGTTTATGTTGCTCCAAGTTATTTTTCTTTTCTAAGTTAGGTTTATGTCTCCCAGATTATTTGTTTTTTTTTATCCTTTTCATTTATAAATTTTGACTTTGTTTCAAATGATTGTTAGGTCTCTTGGTGTCAACCTAGTTGCTATTCTCTGACTTATTAAGATGTCTTAACATATGACTATGTTGCTTATTAAACAATAATTATGTCAATTTGACTCTTCCATGCAAATTGAATTGTATGTAGAATTGTGTATTGTAGTATGAATTGTATGTATAATTGTGTATTGTAGTAAGATTGTGCAAAATTGTATTATAAAAAGATTGTGAAATCATTAATTTTGTGTGATCCTGATTGGTTTCGGTCACGTTTGATTGTTTTTTGGCCACCTACGTAATAATCAAATAAGAAACGAATAAGAAAAATAAAAAATAAAGAATAAAGATGACACGATATAAAGTCGTCATAATTATAATTAGATAGTAAGGACGACATATATTTTACAAAGATAAAATCAAATAAAGAAATAAAAATAAAGAATGAAGATGACACAATGCTAAGTCGTAACAATTATGATTAGATAGTAAAACGACACGTGTTTTGGAAGGATAGAGATGAAGTTTAGATTTAAAATTTAGAGAATATACATTTTAGAGAGATAAAGTTTTTGAAATGACAATGATAAAGTTTTAGATTTAAAATTTAGGATAAAAATTTTTAGGACTGTGGTTCAATGGATTGAATTATAGTTAAATTCAATGACTAGTAGAGTTTTTCTTCCTAATGTATTCAAATATTTACTTAAGTCACATATTATCATGTCCATCATTTAAAGTTTTGTTTGCATGTGTTTGATAATATGCAATAACAATAATTGAGTTTGATATAACTCATTTTGATTTGATTAAAAATAAATTTAATCTGAATTAATTTAAGTTTGAATATATTTTATTTTATTAATTCGTACCAATTAATGTTGTTTGAATTTTAAAAATGGGGTTTAAGTGTATTTTTTAAGACTACATTTTATAAATAATTTTTTTACAAGAATAATGTATCTATTTTATTTCTTTTTTTTATTAAACTATTTAGATTTTATAATTCAAAATAAAAAAATTGTCAAAATAAAATAAATATTTTAAAAAATAAAATAATATAAGGAGCGACTTCATTCCTAAAACATGTAGGCAGTTGCAAAAATATATATAAAAAATTGAGTTAAACATTAAATTTCAGCTTAAAAATTACATTTTATGTTAAAAAAGTTGCATATATTAACTTCAAGTAAAATAAATTATAAAAAGTTAATAAATAAATATAAATAAATATAAATAAATATAAGTAAATATAAATAAATATAAATAGTTTATTTATATTAATAGATAAATATAAATAAATATTTTTATTAAAGATTAAATTCTAGATCAACAATTTACACTCATTTAATATATTGTAGTTGCATCATTTCTTTTGAAATATAAATGAAAATAGTAATGTAACACTTTAAATGAACTCCTTTCATCTCCCTAAAATATCATATTTTAAACACATTAGTGTCACACTCTTTTTTGTGATTATAATAAAAAAAAATAACAATTTTAGGTTGATTATGAAAGTTAGGTAAAAATTTTGATTTTTATATAAAATATATGATAAAATTATTAAAATATTCTTAATTATATTAAATAAATCAACTATCTAGATTAATTTTTTTAATATAAATAAAAGTATATTAAAAATGTTAGCATTAAATAGTAACTGAAAATAGTTAACACTTATTTACTTTTACTTATTATAATACTTAGAGCATAATTATTAGAGTGGTAAAAACTTATGTGTACTATTTGAAACATGGATAATAAAGATTATTTATTGTGATTTAAATTGACACTGTATCTTAAAATGACCCCGTTGCTTTTATGGAATATATTGGTTTTTGGTATAAATTTGAAATATAATATAATTTTGTGGGATCCATGTTAAAGTTTTAAGTAAGTAATATAAATATTTAAAAAATATAATTAAGTGGTTTAAATATATTATATTAGATGGAATCCCCCTTATACTAGTAGTATGGATGTGGGTGCTACAACCCAAATATAAAGTCAATTTATTTTATGTTTTTTACACAATTTCCTAAACTATTGTCTCATAGATAAATGGATAATTGAATAATTTTTTTTAATATCCATGCCTTGAACATTTTTTATAGTATTTGTTTCTTCCTTTTCTTAATTTGTTTTTATATGCCAAAATTAATTCCATATTATGGAGTTTGATGAGATTTATTTTAGAGTTTCTAATACTGTTTAAATAGTTTTATAGTATAATATAATACAAAAAATTAAATGAAACTCATTTAAAGAATTCAAGTGTTTAAAAAAAATAAAAATGGTATAGCCGTTGTGTAATCTTTAATATTCCGAATCAAGGTGTACCCTATTTAACTCTTGAGGTGGTAAAGTAGGTCTGACAAATAAGACATGTCATTTGTGTATGCACTTAGTGCAACACGGGACAAAGGTTTAAATTCGCATCTTCTAATGTGTTCGTTCCACTCTGTTCGTTTTTTTTTTCCGGTATGAACGTTCACATAGATTTTGTATTTTTAAGTTTAAAATGTGCGGTGCACACGGGTATGCCCAACCCTGCTCTTAGTTTTAGTGCTGGGCGAATCATAATTTTAAACCTGCACCCTTAACTATGTCCGCTAGTCCCATTCTATTTTTTTGGCAGATTTTTGCAGAACGGATCTTAAATGGAACTGATTTGTCATCTCTACCAAATTGTATGCATTCAAAATAACTTCAATAAAATGTAGACCCAACGTGTACCGGTAACAACCACTCAAGTGTCTGATGACAGTATAGCATAACTGCAAAATGAAACTCTATTATTCTCCGAGAAAAGATCATGATATAAAAGATTAATATTACTGATAAAGAAAAATGATAGCTACATTTTCCACAAACTTTTGAAACACAGACAATTAGATTGGATTAAATGTGGTATTAACTCATACATAGTAATGGAACAGAACAAGAACAAGGACAAGTTCTGCTTCATTCTCCCTCGGAAACTTGGATTTGGAGTTGCTGCGTTTAGCAATCTACACAGTCGGCACATAGGTGGCCGTTGGATGAGATCTAACGGTCCAAATTTCAATGTATTGTGATTTTAGAAAACCATTGAAATCTGGATAATTTGATCTTGATTCAACTGCCACCGATAAGCTGACCGTGTGAATGTGTGGAATTGTTGACCGCAGCAAGTCCAAATCTGTGGAACTTTCAGGAGTTATATACTTCCCGGCTCTCATTTCCAAGCACAAGAAGCAACCAAATCTCTATTCATCCAACCAAGGTATAAAGCTCCATCTCTCTCTTCAAGTCTATATCTATCACTATAGTTCTCAAGCAATTTCTTTATGGTACCATTCACCAAAGAACTCAAAGGGTAAGGAGTGAAACCAGCCATTGCAAATCTCGACCTCCATTTCCCAAGCAACTCGTGTCGTTCTACTCTCTCGACCCCTTCACAAGCTATGATGTTAACTAAGTCTCTTGCCAAACAATGCTGCTCAACATTGATCCTCTCTTTATGTTCTCTAGGAAGAGTCACGTCTATTGACTCGAACATTGCTGTGTAATAGTCCATAGTTTCGAGAAAACGCGGAAAGAATGCAGCAGTGTTTGTGTTAGATTCTTGTTCGACAAGCGTCACGACTTTCGGTGATAGGCTCTTAACCAACCTTAAAAGCCTATCCCTGTGATTCTGAGTGCTGACACTCTCGTCTGGCATGTGATGTAGCATGAATGCAAAATTTACTGCAAGAGCTTCCCCCGGCCGAACTCCGAGGTTATGCAGTTGAACATCGCAACCTGAGATAGCTGCAGCATGAAACTGAAATGGCACCTTGAAATGCTGAGCAAGCTTTGATAATCTTTTTTCAACTATATGTAGTCCACCTCCACGGGCATAAGCTGATGTTGAATCATCGATACCTGTAATGCGAATGTGTGGTGGCCCCCCGGGCCTAGCTGCAAAAGCTTGGATCAACGAAATCCATTGGCTTCCTTGAGCAATTTGGAAATCGATTATATGAACTCTGGCTTCATTTTTCATGGCTTCTGCAATGGCTCCATTTGCAGACATGTATCCAAATTTGAAGTAAGGGCAAACCTCATAAAGTATGTTCATGTAAGAGAGAAGTTCGGTACTTTCTGGTTCTTTGCATCGTAAAGATTTGTAGATTGAACTCCCGGACGCAGACAATCGTGCAATGAGTCCTTCCAACATGTACGCTCCCAACCTTTGAATTGGTTCGCCAGAAACGGAAACCATCTGCCGTAATTCGTCCATCAACCATTGCGCCATTAGCAAATCATTGTCTGCAATTGCTTTTGCACATGCAGTAAGGATGTGCTTTAAATTTTTACTCGAAATCGCTATCATTGTTTGTCTCCAACTGTCCATTTCAAGTGAAGCAAAACCAGTTCCATTGCTGATGGCGCTGTCGTAACTATCAAGATTATCAGAGTCAGGACCAAGCATCACATTTTCCAATTCTCTTAGCTTGTGCTTGAAGCTACTTAAATCTTCGGTTACACACGATCCACTCATCGGCGAGTCATAGGTATCATCGGGGGAGTGATAACGATCTTGTGGATACGTCTGACAATCTTGCTGCGACATTGGACTATCGTTGGTCGAGAAACTAACAGTTGAAGGAGAGTTGTAAACCACAAAACTTCCAGCTGCAGAAGAAGACTCCAACGTGCAGTAAAAGTCAGAAGAATTTGGAGCCGAGAATTGAGTTCCATTGACTCCATCATTGTTGTATAGCTGATGATTTAGATTTCGATACTGCGGCAAACAATAGGATTCAATTTGTTGAATTGGTTGATAGTACATACTCATACTTCTATGCCGCTCCGATGCCTGCATCTTAGAATCAATAACTAAGAATCTTACCGTTGTCTCAACTATAATTAATCTCTAAAAGTTCATTCTTCTGCACAGATTTGACATTTTCTGCATAAAAGAATCACAGAATCAGTGCTAACATTAACAAACAATTTCAAGTTTCATACACCATACAATGCATATAAAAATGAAAAAGAATAAATATATTTTCAAGTCTTGAAGAAATTAAGCACACTTATAGATTCACTGTGCAGTTGACAATTAATCAACTTTTTCATCTAAATTGAAATCAAACTGCAAGTCAAACATTGAATTCTCTCTGTCTACTTTTTATTTGAAAAAAGAATAAAGAAATAAGTTGAATCAATTAGTGAAAATTTCCAAGAAAACTGCACAAAAGACCCCTTCAATCTATCACTGATTTTTCTTGACAAAAAAAAGAAAGAAAATTATATAGAAATTACATTAATCAAACCAAGAATAGAGAATGAAAATTTAGAAAGGAAGAAGATTAAACAAAATTCAAAAGATAAAACATACAAAAAAAAAATGTAAATGACCCTTTATATCTAGATTTCATTATGTTTCAATCAACTTAAGAATTTACACCTGCATAGAGAAAATTCCTCAACCAACTATTTCACCAATTATAATGATAAATAAGATGTTTATAAAATACAGATCAGAAGAAATTCACAGCAGAAACATCATAATGAAGTTACATAGATATTCTTAGCCAACAAAATGGTTAATTAATCAAACCAACTTCATAGAAAACTTTTAACAAACAGATCATAAGCATACAAAAAAATGCAAAAACCATATATACATGAAAAGAAGAACAAAACAAAAAATCCACATGAAAAATATGAATGGCTTACCAATTTGTTACTTGTTTTTGAGGAAGGAAAAGAGAGTGAAGAGAAGGGTGTTAAGATGAAGTTGAATATAGAATAATGAATGAGAAATGGCCCTTATATTGATAAGGAAACTACACAACAACCATGGGAAAGTGTTGATGTTATGCTAAGGGACAATTTTAGTTTTTTTTATTGGAAATGACAGAAATACCCCTATACATCCATATATAATATCTAGTATCTATAATTCAATACATTATTCAACCAAAAAATTAGAATACATCACTATCTAATAAAATAATGTGTATAAGAAATAATCACACGTGGCCTTGATTTTTTATTAGAAATTCGACTTTGACTTTAATGCCCTTTTTCTTACAGTCTTGATTAGTCTTTTTTTACCACCAAAACACTTGTTTGAAGGAAAAGATACATTTTTATGGTCTTCAATCAATCAAGAAGTCTACAAATATATCATTGTTCATAACTAACAATTACATGATAACTACTACTGAAATTGTTGATTAGTGTTAATTAAGCACCACTCTTAAAAGGATTTGCATTGATGACTTAACAACTTTGATGCCAATTTAGTGGCTAAAGACATCATCAACACACATAACCATAATCACATATACCTTCAAACTTTGTTTGTATTTAAAATTTCAATGATTACTCATTTGTCATTTAATTAAAATATTCCAAGATTCTTAAATGTTTATCTTTTAATTAAATTCACAAAGTGCAACTCTTAAACTATTATATAGGCCTTATTAAATTGGTAATGTTTAATTATAATGAGGAAGCAAAAGCTAAGGTCTATTTGGTAATTCAAATTATCTTATGATTTTCAATTTTTCTTAACTTATTTAATCACTATCATATCTCATATTATACTATAAGATAATGACCCACACGGTTGAGTCAGAGCATAGAACCTTGTAATAAAGGCAAGGGACCAACCAGTAGTGCCTTACACTTCACCTAACATGCACTTTGATACCTTTCAATTTGGTTTATTAATTATAATATTATTTTAAAATATGCATCTTTGATTTTATATTGTTTGCTTGTTCTTATTCTTCTCTTTTATAATCCATTGAACTTATCTCTAAACTATCATCTTAGAATCTTTAAAGTGTTAAGATAATTATTACTACTACACATCATTGAAGAGTGCGCATTCTTAGAGGCTATCTTTCATCATTCCCTTTTCTACTTATTAACATCAAAAAGGTAATTAGTGAAGTGAAGTTTAATAATAGTGATAATTATGTTTCAACCATGCATCTTGTTAATTGGGTTTTGATGATGCCAAACAATGTATAAGATTATTTCAGTGGGGTTATGGTAGACCTAAAGGAGTCTCTAACTCCTTGAAGATTATGTCATTATATTTTTTAAATAATATTTTTATTTAATATGTTTTACAATTTAAAAAGAAAAAATATTGGGAGTTTTAGATCCGACAATATTTTTTAAACAATATTTTTTAAAAGGAGGTGTAAGTGACTTAGGTACGAAACATTAATGACCGTGAAGATAAATGTTAAAATGTTAAAATTGTGGATATCGTTTTCACTTTTTTGAGAAGATAAATGACTTGTTAAGTGCAAGTTATTTGTCTTCACATAGAAGGAAGGGTCGATGACATGATATAAAGTATAATATTTGAATTCATCAATTCATGGATTCTGATGACATGATATAAAGCATAATATTTGAATCTGTCCTTTGAATTGTGTAAACACTTCACAATCCATTTCCCTACATCCAAGAGGCATCCAAAATCAATGTAAATTATGGGAGGGATCAGACAAAAAGGGATGGACCATTAAGGAGCTACATTTAGAGGTTCAACAAAGAGGTTGTCTTAATGAAGAATTTAGACGGTAAGATGAAGATGTATTAGCTCAATCAAATGCTTAAAAAAAAGAAACAAGGTTTGTTGAGAAGTGGGAATAAAAAAGCCCTAAAATTTCAATGACTTGCTTGGTCATGAAAATAAGTATATCCAATATGATGAGATGCTAGAGACGAGTAAGGCTATTTATGGTGGCACAGAAAGGGCTGACACAAACAAATAGAAAGAGGCTTGGCCTGTCAGGGAAGGTAGGGGGCGCCTTCCTCTAAGTTCAAATATTTTATTCCCTTGAACACTTCTAGGAAACATATCATTCAAGAGCATGCCATCTCCGAATTCAAGGAATAAGAGGTTGAATTTCCAAATAAGGTCCAAGAGCAGATAAGCCTAGACATGTCAAAATATTAATGTTTCCACAAGAGTAATCAACCCAACACTGAAGAGGCCTGCAATGTAGGACAAAGTCAAAATAAATGAGCACAAGTTTAAATTCAAGTCCGCTTCTCCCATAAAAAAGATATGAAAGTGTACATATCTCGAGGAAAAATCATCAAATGGCGGGGACAGCAAACAGATGCCCGTGGCATATGCCATTTATGATGGCATGTTCTCTCAATGAGAGAATTTCCTTATTATCATAAATGTGTGTGTGTAGGGGGGGTGAGAATTTTCCAGGAATGAGAGCATCTCCCCATTAACTCCCTTTGAGAGGATGAGGCCAAAGAGACTGGAGTCACCAAAGGATCATCAAAGTGATATTAGGGGATTCCTCAATTATGAACAAGCCTATTGCAATTCAATAAAAGGACGATTAAAGAGATGATGAACCTAGTAAGAAAGTATGATCCCATGCCTAATAAAAAGAGATTGTCCCCATTGTCATTATTTAAGGAAGAGTTAATCAATTTCCTTCAAACCTACATGGCCAAGTGTTAGTGAAGTATGAGAGTTCTTGTGATATCATATATTAAGATTTTTTTGACCCCGACAATTGACACACAATGACTTGATATTTTACAACGAGTGCAACCTTCAAGGTTTTAATCTATAAATAACTAGACATTGTGGCTATGTTGAACTATTGCTAATGTTTGAATGAAAGAAGGATAGGAATACAAAAGGACCCAATTCCTCGTAGTTGAATTAAAATTCATTTACATCTACATCATAGGACGCCACACATTAGCTGCTCTAGGGGAAATGTCCTCGACAATTCATACGAACATGAAATATCATACATGTAAAAACAAGGTAGACATCATCAATGACAATTTAGAAACACACAAATCATGTTCCCTTGCTTCATTGAAGTGCCATAAAGGTAAGGTCGTGGAAGAGGCAGACCCGTGAGCATAAGCATCCCTCATCTTCGAGATCTTGAATGTGAATTTGAAAAATGTCTATTAGAGATTAGAAATGACTTAGACATATCAAGAAGTCATGACAAAGCATCAAATAAAAAAAAATTAGAAGGAAAGGCAAGACCCCAAGGGGAAAAGACTCCATAAAAGGAAGATAAAGATGCAAGATTTAAAAATGAAAAGAAAGAATCTTAAAGGAATCCTTTTGTATAAAAAAATATAAGAGCTATTTATTGACATCCGATTCAGTTGAAGTTTTTTAGAGAATTTTAAATACAATTATTAATGATTTTTCTTGATTATTTCAATAATTTTGTCCCATTTATTAAGAAAAAAACAGGCTTAAGATAGTAAAATCAAATTATAGTTATCGGGAAAATCTTCAAGGCACAACCCAAAAAGAGAATATAGGTGGACATAAGTCCTTATCTTTCATTTGAGAAAAAAAAACAATAAGACGCTACTCCATGTAACATGAATCTCATAGGTACCACACAAAAAATTAACGTACTTTGAGGATCAAAAAATAAAGAGTCATTAGGATGAATAAAGCCTGCGAGTAGACTGCCAAAGATGGTAAGGGAACCTCTCTTCTTGATTAGCCTCTGACAAGCTGAATGGTTGCCTCAAATATCCCTCCCTCCCTCAATCCATACATTGGGAAAAAGGGAAGATGAAAGATATTCATTGGCTGGAGAAGCTCCTCTTAAAGAGATATTCTAAAAATCATATCATAAATCATAAAGATGGGGAAAACAAAATGCGTGACCTTAAAAAGGCTGACACAAATGCTTAAGAAGTCAGGAAATGAAACCAATACGAATTTCAATATAATAGTAAAAAAGGGATACCGGGTACATATAAGGGTGGAAAAATAGGACATGTCTATTTTGCCGTATTTTTTCATGGGACGGACCATGGTTTTACTCTCTCACC